TATATATATATATATATATTAATTATCGCATTAAGTTCTCAAAGGGGACGTGAATATATTATTTATACATTAGTATTAATTATAATTCACTTATAAATATTTTTTATTTAAAAAATAAATACGTGTACTCACAATCTTTAGTAAAGAAGGGGAAAGGCCTATTACACCTAGAAATGTATCATGTTGGGACTCGAAGATTTAAAAGCAAGCTTTGAATATATGGTGGATGGTGGTGACAGATGGTTGTTCTATGATATACATGATAGGATCATTCTCTAATTTGTGAGTCTATTCACTATGTCCACATTATTGGCTTTCAATAAAAATTCAAAAAGCATGTCATAGCATGTTTTATTGAAACAAATTTGAATTTCAACTTCTTGCAATTATCACAATTAACATATCCTGATCCAGCACATAATTATAAGGAGTATTGAAACGTATTGAGTGGCTTTACCCTCTACTCATGTCATGACATAGTACTTAAGTCACCGACATTCCGAGCTCCAACGGAAATTTTGTTTAAAAAAATTAACTTTTATAAATGTTAATACCTTCCATACCATATAATGTGTTAAGTATATTTCAAAAACTAATTTCTTAAAAATATTTATCCGTTAGTAAAAAGTAATTTATATTGATAAGTCTTCTTATACTTGAACATGATGATTCTCTATACAATTGAGAAAATTCTTTATTAAATAATAACAAACTTCAATGAAAAATAGAATTTGCAAGTAGTTGCAGACACATTTTAATCTTCAAGTCAAGGAGTGTAGAAGATAAATAAAGATGAACATGATGATGCTGAAATCCTCTAACAAGTAATACTAAATTTCAATGAAAAATATAATTTGCAAGTACTTATTGCACACACATTTTGCTCTTCAAGTCAAGGAGTGTAGGAGATAAATAAAGATGAGCATAATTAACTACACACCTTTAAAGATAAATACATTATTTAACAAGAGTTAAACTTAAATATTTATCATTAATCAAAGGTCTTGATACATATCTTGATCAATCATGGTGTTCATCCTAATTAATTATGTGATAATTAATTTTGATGTCAACTTTGATTGATCATGGTATTCATCCTAATATTGATATGATATCAATTATGGTCGGTCGACTCATATGATAAACTTAAAAATAAGTTAGAGCACTTTTTAGAAATTAATATTAAAAAATATACTTTGAAAAAAATAATAATTTATATAATAGATTTAGGAAGTATATTTAATTCTTGACTTCTTCTTATATATTATTCAATTTATTTTTTTCCAATCGGGATATATGAAATTAAGGAATAATTTAACTATCAGAATTGAATTAGTTGTAACAAATTGTGATTCTTAATGGGTTAAAATATATATTTTTTTTAATTTTTATAATTTTACTTACTTTATTTTTTAGTATTTATAATTTAAAATAAATATTTTTAATTTCTATATTTATCTTTTTAATCATTATTAGTCTTTATACTTGTACTTTTATAAATTTTTTAATTCTTATTATTGTTTTTTTTTACAACATTATTTATTTTGTGTTAATTGGTTGGGATCTTCAATTTTGTGAAAGTAAAAAAAATATTTCAGCAAAGTAGAGATAAAAAAAAGATAGGAAAAGTCAAAAAATTTAATTTAAAATAATTTTGACAAAATAAATTTGACTTTTAATATATAAGTTTGAATTAATATATTTGTTATTTTAATAAAAAAAATAATGTTATAAAATAAATTAATGATAAAGATAAAAAAAATTAAAAATTGGAAAATATAAAACTAAAAAAATTTATATTATACTATAAGACTAAAAAATAATTAAAAACAATTGAAAAATAACTGTATCTATACATTTTTTTAAAATTATATAAATAAAGTAAAGTGAGTTAAATTATATAAATAAAAAATAAAAATTTAACGTTGTTAATGATAAACAAAAAAAAAACACTAATCATAAGATGCGACATATTTTCTCATAAACAAATACAATTAATGGTGTGACCACACATGAATGGACATCCAATAAGAAAAATTGCAGCAGAAAAATGAAATAAAAATAAATAAAAAAAAAAAAAAAAAAAAAAAAAAAAAAACTCAACACAGAGACATTGCCATAAAGGGCGAGAAGCCTATCAGCAAGAAGAGTCTCTACAGTCTGAGGAAGGAACCGCAGCAGCCATGGCCGCCACTAGAGCCATAGCCATAGCCGGCAACTCCACATGCTCTCTGCTTACAAAGAAACCCTTTGTGGGTGGCACTGTCCTTCGCCTCAACAACCTCAAGTTTTGTAGGACTACTAGGAGGAGGTCTTACACCTGCAGGGCCATCTACAATCCCCAATTTGTGGTCAATGAGGAAGGCCAACCAGAAACCCTTGATTATAGAGTCTTCTTTGTCGACAAATCCGGCAAGAAGGTACCTTTTTTATTTATTTATTATTATTTGTTATTAAACGGACATTGAAAATTTGTTCTTTCTAGTCTTGTGCTGCCGGGTTTTGCTTTCAAATAGAAAAATGCGATGTTGGGCGTTCAAAGTTTGTTCCTTTTTGTATAGTTGCAATGGAAAGAGAATGATATGCGGCCTGTGTATTTGATTAATCAAAACACGGAATTGAAAAGCAATGATTTTCATTTCTCTTGTTTGATTGAAGTGTTGTAAATAAATAGGGTTTGGAGCTATTTAGTTTAGCTATGCATACTTGCCTAGAATAATGTCAGGTTTAATAGTTGTACCTGTGTGTTCGTTGATAGGTCAATAGCTTGCTAAGTTCTTTTGGATTGTGATCTGGCTGGTGCTAGCAAATTTTTTATATTTGTTATACTTCACAAGCTGATTGAGATATTATGTCTCGTGTGTGTGTTATCGCTTTTTGTTATAAATTTCCTCTGCTTTTATGAAAGCAACGTAGGTCGTAGGTGCCAAGTGAGCTGTTACTTTCTTATTATCACAATCTTTTCTGGGGAGTCAGGAGTTAGATTTGCTTAATATTTGTGTAAATAGGTAAGAAGACTTGGTATACAGTGAGATATTGATCTTTTCAACAAGGAAGGTAAAATAAAACTAATGTTTCATTGATGAGTTTCCTGCAATTGGGCTACCTGTAACAATTAAAATCTGTATACTTGTGTACCTACTAGTAAAAGTAATTTGTAAAATATGTAGGTTTCTCCCTGGCATGATATTCCCTTGCGGTTAGGCGATGATGTCTTCAACTTCATTGTTGAGATTCCTAAAGAATCCAGTGCCAAGATGGAGGTTGCCACTGATGAGCCTTTCACTCCCATAAAACAGGATACCAAAAAGGGGAAGCTTCGATATTATCCGTGAGATACAACTTCCAAGCTCATAATTTTGCTTCTTTTTCTTAAATGTATTATTTATCTTTGGTCATTGGCTTTTAACATAAATCTATTTTGCTAACCCAATAAGAGTTTTGAAGATCACATTGTCAATGTAATGTTCTGTGGTATGCCTTCTTCACTGATGTCTATTTGTAACCATAAATCTACCTGGGAGTTTCGTGATGCCTTCATCATGCTATTTTACTTATAACAATGGAAGCATTTTGCATATCTCATTCATGATTCATCAGTTCTTCAGATTCTTTTTGCCATTCTTTTGGTTTTTTGATGTGGCCAATTGATTCTGTTCCATATTTAGCCTATGAAACATATATCATGTTTGTTCGCCAGATATAATATACATTGGAACTATGGCTTACTTCCACAAACATGGGAAGATCCATCATTTGCAAACTCTGAAGTTGAAGGAGCATTGGGAGATAATGATCCAGGTGTTCCATTAATAATGATTGTAGCTTCTTTTCCGTAATGTTGTCTTACGACTGCAACAAACATGTCTAAAATTCTTGATGATCTGTAGTTGATGTGGTGGAGATTGGTGAAAGCCGGAGGAAAATAGGTGAGGTTCTCAAGATCAAACCCTTGGCTGCATTAGCCATGATTGATGAAGGAGAACTTGATTGGAAAATAGTTGCGATTTCATTAGACGATCCAAAGGCTTCACTTGTGAATGATGTTAATGATGTTGAGAAGCATTTTCCAGTAAGCTCTATCACCTAACTGGCTGATGATTTATTTCCTAAGTCTGTTCTTGTCCATTTATATGTTTGTGATCACGTTGAACAGCTAGGTTGATTTTTGAAGTGTTTGTTACAAATTACCTACTTAGGCAGTCAGCTTATTTACTGTTACTGCAAATTTGACTAACGAGTCTTCTGTGTCAATTCGAATAGTATTGGTTGTTCACTAGATATTAGGGATTTTTGGCTTAAGTGTTCATATAAGATAAGTCCAAATAAGTTTCATGAAAGTTCTCAATATTTGTGTTTCTCATGAGCAATCTTTGTAACTGCTTTCATCTCAATTGGTCTTATGATCAGCAACTTTATTTGTTACATAATCTTTGGTGGTCTTCAGGGAACTCTAACTGCAATTAGGAACTGGTTCAGAGACTACAAGATACCTGATGGAAAGCCTGCTAACAAATTTGGGCTTGGCAACCAGGCAGCAAATAAGGTATTTTTACTGCACGAATCTCTTGAATGATTGAATCAAGTATCATATGGAATTCTTTGCACTGTGTACTTCATGTCAGTGTTTAGCAGTTTACATGTTCTTTTAAATGGCTTGTTCGTTGCTGTTATGGTTACTGATAAAATGTCTTTCTGGCTGCATTTTTTCTAGAAGGAATTAGTTGCCTGGATTACTGTAGGGATCAGGGGAATAGAAGGGTGTTTTATGATTACAATTTACAAGTGATAGAGCATATTCTTCTCTGAACATGATTACTGAATTAGATTCTTGAACTTGGCTGAAAATTTCGATAACAGAGATTAATAATGAGAAAGATAAAAGCAAGGCATTAATCTTCTGCGTAATCTGCACTGTTATCATTATTGGTGTTTATGTCATTAATCATTATGTGTACTGGCCATGGCCACCTCAATTTGTCTCAGCTTATTCTTAACTTTTAAAACTTATATTTGGTGAACAGGATTATGCGCTTAAGGTCATCATGGAGACCAATGAGTCCTGGAATAAACTTGTCAAGAGATCAATTCCTGCAGGAGAGTTATCACTTGTGTAGTCTGTTATTCATGCAATTGAGTAGAGACTCCTGTGTATTGAATAAAGGACAATTTTTCAGTTGTGCTCTTATTAATTTTTAAATTAATGCAAACATAAAAATCGCTACTTTCGTGTGAAAATATAGAAGTTAACTAGTAAATATTGCCAAGGTAATTTTTTAAGTATAAATCTTTATACAGTTTAGATTTAGGGGAAAAAGTAAATTAAAAAATAAGTGGGAAATAATTCTCATTTTATAAATCAGCTAAAAATAAGATCATAATAATATATATAAGTGATGAATAATTCTTATTTTATAAATTGATTTTATAACAATGAGTTAAATTCTTAATCTACTTTCTTAATATGTTTGATGGAAGTGTTAAAACTATGTTTAATTGTCTAGAATAATATCTGGATTAATAATTCTGTTTTTCTCAATGTATTAATATAATCCTTTGAGAAAACTTTTATATATATCCAACAATGTGTAGTGTCTTATTACATTTATATATTACTTCTCTCCTTTTTAATAAGAAACAACTTATAATGTAAAATACAATGTTAATTGTTTCTTATAAAAAGGAGTACCGGTTTATGACTGAGAAGCAAGTTGCCAGAGTCTAGTTGGGCTAGCAAAGCCCAAACTAGAATTTTCACAAAAAACATAGGCTTAATTCAGGCTCAATACTATGTTTTATCAAGTATATTTGAGTCAACTTAATTTTCTACATAATAGTTGGTTCAAGAGGAGCAAACTCAACAAGATAGGTTATGTCTGAGTAGATATAACTTTTGACCGAAAATGTGGCTTCCTTTACCCAATTGGTACAACGGTCTCCATTACAGCTTAATTATGATAAGAATTGGCGTGACCATAATGATGAGTTAATCACAATCTTAATCCCCAACCTAGATAGAACACATTCTGTCATATTTTTTTTTAATGTTTTCCCTATATATATTTACTTGATTTTATCGGATTTTGATTAGTAGTCTAGTACATATTATTTTGTTTCGTTCATCATTGGCCAATTTCTTGTGTAAATTATTTGATTTCATTTACAGTGATATATAATTTTATTTATAATGATTATTGGCATTTTGGTTTAATTTAGTCAGACACTTGATGATGTTAGTAAGATGATTTCATGTACAATGAGTGTTTACGGGATAGGCTGGATAGATAACATGTGCTAACAAGTTGGTGTCTACATAATTTTAATTAAAAAATAAATTACTAATATGATGGCTTACTTTTAACACCTCAAAGAATGAATGAAAAATTGAAGAAATAAGTAATACATGCTATTAAGAGAAAAAAAAATTGTTATGTGTGATATGTTATATAACTTTATTAAGAGTATGTGATTTATTATGATTTGATTTTCTAAGTTAGCTTTGGATGGTAACATTATTCAATTTTTTATCAAAAGTGAACATTTAACTTGGATGTTTTAGACAATATATTGTGTTTAAATCATCTAATTTGGATGTAATATATTATGTCTAAAACACTTATTTTGAACTTATTATACTGCATTCAAATTGGGTGATTTAGACACATTATATTGTGTCTAGATCATTGAATTGAGATGCAATATATTATTCTTGGAACATCCAATCCAAACATAATAGATTATGTCCAAAACACTTAATATGCAAAATGGGTGTTACAAAACAACATATAAGAATATTTTGGACATTTTAAGAAAGTAATGGGTGTGCAAGACAAATTATTGGATACAAGTATCAATTGCCTTAGAACTGATTTTTATTCTTTAGAAAGTTACAAGACAAAAGATTAATTTATAACAGCTTTAATACCTTGAACTTTGGCCAAGCGCATTTATAGGACAAGGGCAAATATCCATGTAAACAAAGATAAATTTGAAAAGGAACCATATTTTTCCAACTAATCAGCACATTGTCTTAAATAAATGTCTCATGTAAATAAAGATAAACTTGGCATCATAATTAATTTTGATTTTGTAAAAATATAAGGTTCTATTTGTGGTTAGGATATGATAGCATGTGCGATGGGATAATTATCTTATCATGCTATAATTTGTTGTTTGTTGTGACATCCTCTACCTCATTAGTCAATATATATATAATTAATCATAAAAAAATAAATAAAAAAAAGACTTTCTAAATAAGACTTTATTTGTAAGCATTATAAAATGTTCATAAAAGGATCTCTAATGGTAGAGAACTCTCATTCATTTTGAAAACTTAGACAAATTCTAGAAGAGTTAACTAATATGAAAATCAAAACAAAATAATGTGAAGTGGCTACCCAAAAGTTATAACAAACTTCAAAAGTTTAATAAGTTTTCTAAAATAAATAGACAAGACATTGAACCATTACAAAACATAACTCTAAATTCTCGATATTACATCTTATCAAAGCTTGACTCACAAGCATATCATAAAGTTTAAGCCTCATCATCGATTAGATCATATGCATTTGGCACCAAAAGATCTCATAACACATGGCCTAAAGGCTAATACTCATGGTCCAAAGGCGATTTCTCGTGTACAATTATAAAATATTTCATGCACATGATGCATGTCTCACATACATGCACAATTCTCATCATATCATCATCACAAATACACATCACATAACTTTATCACAAACTCAACTCATTCACATACCATATCATCATCATTTCATTCTCATATGACGCGTTATCATCACCTCACGTCTCATCATTCACCAACATCTCAAATGTTGTACATAACATTTTCAAGTCAAAATCAACATTCCATATCACATCACGTATAATCATCTCATATCACATATAAAGTTTTCATGCCACACATGAACATTTCATATCATGAACATTACATAGAAGCTCTCATATCTCATACAGGTACAAAAACTCAAGCACAAGGTCTTATAAACATAATTTGGTATGTTCATCATAACTCATTCAAAAATATTTTCTCTCTTACTTTCTCTTTTTTTAACTATTTATATAAGTATCTCAAACCATTCTCAAGATTAAACACTTAAAGAATAAAATTGTAACATTGTAAAAAAAAAAAAAGAAAAAAAAAGAGGCTGATTCAGTAGCCCAGAACGGGCCGTTCCCAAACTGGAACGGGCCGTTCCACACTACTGAATTGAACTACATATTGTAGTTGAGAACGGGCCGTTCCGGCAAGGAGAACGGGCCGTTCTAGGAAGGAGAACGGGCCGTTCCGGAGGGAGAATGGGCCGTTCCGGAGGGAGAACGGGCTGTTCCTGAGGGAGAACGGGCCGTTCTGGATGAGTCCCGGAACGGGCCGTTCTGTTTTCAGAACGGGCCGTTCTGGGCGTGGATTTTGTGCGTGATCTGGGAGTTCAGAACGGGCCGTTCCGGTATCGGTACGGGCCGTTCTGGCCACTCCGGATTGCCTATAAATAGGGGTGAAGGGGGGGCCGTGAGGAGTTATGGTTCTAGAGAGAAGTTTTAGAGAGAAGGTCTCTGGGTCAGTGAGCTCCTTTCTCTCCCAAATTTCTCTGTTTAACTCCTTTTCTCCTCTAGATCAATAACTCCTTCTGTCTTTTCTTGAATTTCAGATTAGAAAGCTTGTTTTGGGAGGACTGAAGTTTCGAGTTGAGCCTCGAGGGGAAATTATACTTTTGATTCAGTCTTTGGCTATCTGAGCCAATCTTCAGGTAAGGGAAGCTAGATTGTTTGCATGTGGCTGAATTTGTTAGTTTGGATGAGAATTTTGAACTCTCTGAATAGTTTTAGGCCGGGCGCAGGTTGAGCGTATCAGGCGTGGAAGAGCTTAGAGCTCTTGGGTTGGTGTTAGGCCAGGCGCGAGTTGACGGCACTGTGCTTGAATATATTTATGAATGAATTGATGCTTATGCATGTTTAAAGTTGAAGTTTTAGATCATGTATGTATGATATATGATGTATGGTGAGGTGTGATTCATATGTATGCTTTGTGATGATATATATGAATGTTTGAATATGATACGTTCATATGGTATGTATTGATCATAATGGTAGGTAGACCATTTATGATGTATGATGCATTATTGCATGTGATGTCTTATGACATGTGTATGGTTGTTGATCATGATGGTGGGCAGACCATTATGATGTATGATGCATGATTGCATGTGATGCCTATGGCATGAGTCTAGCCTAGGACTTGAGGAGAGGAAAAATATTTCGAACTGGAAGAGCTCACATAGAGTCTCTTGAGAGTGGTGCTTGGATAGGCCACTAATATATGAGAGTGGTGCTCTGGGAGGCCACTGGATTTGGGAGAGTGGTGCTCAGATAGGCCACTGGGTTGGGTGAGTCTCCTCTAAGTCCTTAGCTAGTGTTGGAGCGGGGTATGAGGTCGAGGGTTATT